ATCCTGCTGACACTGAGGGATTCGCCCACGTGAAGTCGGAGCTGCAGAAGAGGCACACGTGCACAGACCTGGGTGAACTGCGCAGCTATCTTGGCTTGCAGATCACCCGAGACAGAGCACGGCGCACCATTACCTTGACTCAGTCACACATGGTGCAACAGGTCCTTCAGCGCTTCAACTTCACGTACTCCTCGCCTCAGGCCACTCCTCTGTCTACTCGCCACTCGCTCTCTGTTCTGCCTTCGGATGAGTCCGTAGAGCCGAGTGGCCCGTACCCAGAGCTTGTTGGCTGCCTCATGTACCTGATGACCTGCACTCGACCTGACCTGGCATACCCTCTTAGCATCTTGGCACGCTATGTTGCTCCTGGGAGACACCGACCAGAGCACATGGATGCAGCTAAGAGGGTGTTGCGCTACCTGTGCAGTACGTCGGGCATGGGGCTCGTGCTTGGAGGACGGGCTCGAGTTGTCCTCACTGGGCACTCAGACGCTTCTTGGGTTGACGACTTGGCTACGCAGCGGTCGTCACAGGGTTACACCTTCAGCCTTGGTTCCGGCTCTGTTTCGTGGCGGTCTACCCGCTCGTCTTCTGTTCTCAGCTTCAGTTGTGAGGCTGAGATCTACGCTGGGGCCATGGCTGCACAGGAGTTACGCTGGCTCACCTACCTGCTGACCGACCTGGGAGAGGCGCCTCGTTCTTCCCCAGTTCTGTACGTCGACAACAAGGCCATGCTGGCCTTGTGTCAGGAGCACAGACTGGAGCACAGAACGAAGCACATTGCTCTGCGCTACTTCCTTGCTCGAGAGTTGCAGCAGCGTGGTCAGCTTCGTCTTGCTTACGTGGCCTCTCGGGCCAACACTGCTGATATCTTTACCAAGGCACTTCAGCCTTGTGATCATCAACGTTTCTGTACTATGCTAGGTCTTGTGCCTACTGGGCCTCACTTACTTACCTCTTGACTTTGTTTGTACTGTGATCTATATATACCCTTGCTAGGTTGAGATCACTGTCTTGCTTGTTCATCTTGCTTTATAATCCTGCATGTGAACTGGCCTTGTGGCCTTGAACTGATGCTCAGAGTGTGTGGTGATGTTGTGATCCACCCTGAGCTTGACCTTGCCTTGTTCTCTTGCTTGTTTCCCACTTTGCCTATGGGGGCGTGTCAGAACTATATTGTAGGCTGCAATGGGGTAGACAATATGGGGTACAACTCTTTTAGGTTTTGATACTTGTACCCACCTGCTTGCTAGTTCATTCATTCCTTGTTCTTATTCTCACAGAAACAAAACTCGAGAGGAGGCTCGGTATGACCAATCAGTCCCAATTCTGCCTCAATTATGGGATAGACCTAGTGGTAGCCTCGTCGACTACACTCGACAACCCGGCACCACGCTTGCAGCAATTTCGTCATGGAATTACAGGCTCGCACGGAGCCATCGACAGAGTTAATTCGCCAAGTGGATACAGTTGCTAGCCGTAGCGCAGATAGGGGTCGATGCGATTTACCCCTAAATGTCGGACAACTATTAATGCTGGACACGAAGAACCTTCGGGTGAACCTTGTCCGAGGTTTGTGGGACCATCCCATGCCCTTAAGATGCGGACGCCTTCCACAATAATATTACTGCTGTTTGAAGACTAGTGCATGTACGATGCGTTCCAAATCGGTTTGTTGCGACATTTTATCGCATCGTCGTCATATGCTGCACATCTCGCCAAGTGTTTAGTTTGTGGTAGATGCAATACTTGAGCCCCGTAGGGTTTCAAATCATCGGGTTCGACTAACGACGTTCGGATGCCACGTCGACTTGCTACTTCGGTGGATTGACCGAACCAGCGAGGATGATACGTGGGTCACACATGACGCGTTCTAATGATACTAAGTACTACTGGATTACCTCTCCCGCCACGCCACCACTTGTCTGATGAAGGATGGGAGGAAGGTAGTGTAAGGAATTTCTGCCATTCCGTACTAAACACATTACTAGATATACAATTCAAACCTTTTTGGAAGACTTCCAGGCTCGTTCCGATGATCTCGCCTTCCGATCATGACCATGTCTCACAGGAAATCGGCGTCCAATCTTGCCGTCCAAGGGGTCTCGCTAGCTAGGTCCCTCGCTGTGTCTTTTCTAGGCTTCATAGTTTTATTTCTAGTTGTAATAATGGCCTAGGTGTTGACTTATAAGAACTCATAACAACTTTCTTTCAGAACTCAAAACAACTACATATGGAGCTCAACTAGCAACTTTCAATGAAGGGAACTGGAATCCAGCGTGACCGCCGCCACCTGATGCTCGTTTGAGTCACCCATGGTTGCTTTGTAAAGAGGGCATTTAAAGTGTTCTTGCATTTCGCAAAGGTTTCGTCAATTCACAGCTAGCAAAAAAAGGATTCATTAGGTGCTTATAAAATAATTGTAACTTATCCGTTAACATTTTTACTTCAGTTTCTTCATGTTGACTTTGGTTTCTTTGTTACGATTGGTTCAGAATCACTGCAACTTGCGCGGGCTGCTTGTAAAGTGGGTGCAACTGGCTCGAAGAAAAACAAGGGTGCAGGCTTTCCGTCTGGTGCAGGAAAACTTGCGTGCAGGGGTTGAGAATCCTGTGTAGTGCTTCCCCATGCACTTGCACGCACCGCCACAACCAAGCAAAACCAGCTCACTGTACAGTGCTCGTGAAGTGGTTTGTGGTTGGGGGAACGGTCAGCAGCAGCAGCAGCAGCAGCAGCATCCCACAAGGAAGTGTGGTCGTCGTATCTCACTCAAACAGGCCACGGTCCATCGCATCGCACCCCCATCGCACGGTCCGTGTTCATCCAAAAGGGCATCCACGATGACGTTCGTTTGGTTGGTACAGTATGAACTGACGGCGCTGTACAACAGCACTGCAGGAAGAAACGAAACGCCACGCCCTGGAGGGTCCACCGAACCGTTTGTGCCCGTGCAGCGCTGTCCACACCACAAGCAACGAGTGCGTTTCCTTCCCAGGCGTGGTGGCTTGTGATTTGGCTGAAGTAGTCGTATCTCTTCGTAAACCGCATAGAACCGTTCTGCATGTACATCGGCTTCCACCAATTTCCAAAAATCGCCCTGTCATCCGTGTAGGGAAGCCATTCTTTCCCGCATGGAAGCAGTCTGTCAGTGACTGCGTTACGGCGTGTCTCGCTCCTTAGAAGTACATTTATTTCTAGGAATGTTACCCGATAACACCTTGTTACAGTTGGCTACCCTACCAGCCAGACAAGCTCCTCTTGATTCCTTTCTGGCATACGTTTTTTTTACGTGTCCAAGTTCGTGAGCCGCACGTGCCATGCACGCTTGTACAGAACACTGACAGGTACATTTCAGGGTTTGCACTATGTGTTACCCGAATTTTGACCTTCGCGACCTCATAAAGTGGATGTTTGTTGCGCACCACGAATTTTCGTGAAGCGCAAGCGTGAGCGAATTCCGCCAAATTCTACACGGATTTCGTAGGGCGGCATGGTTATCGATTGGGACTGTGTGGTCAAGCTTGCACTCGGTTCGGATTCCTCAAGGGTGGGTCTGTTTTTCCGCGTGCAGAAAGTGGATTCGCGTCGGGCGGACACATATCATTTTCTGTACGTGTGGGCAGCAAATTTGTGAACAATCAGAATTACATAAAAGTTATGAAAATGGCCATACAACACCCTGCAAGACACGCCCTTACAGTACGGTTCGGTGCAAAGACCGCGACAGGTCATCACGTATGGGCAGGTCGTGGCATGGCCTGATTCGTGAACGGTTTCGTGATCGTCCGAGTTACCAGTTCTATACCGAAGTCTGGCACAACAAGCTGTCGCATGAGTGTGTGCGACTTGTCGCTGACGGGCATCACCCTTCACGACCCAGAATGTGGGAGTCTACGACAGAACGAAGCAGTCTGTTTGAACCTACGAAGGGCGAAAGCAGCAGAAGCTTAAGACAACAATCAGCGAGTCTGGCTGAAGGTAGAGGAGACAACAATCAGCGAGTCTGACTGAGAACTGCCGCTGAAATGACGGAGGCTCCGTGAGAGTGGGCTGTTCTGACAACAATACATTTCTCTTGAGCCGAGGGCCAATGAGAGCGCTAGTACGGATTCGATTATTGAGTTTCTAAATATAATGTTCGCACTTTTTGATCGCCTCGTCGTTGCTCAGGTCGGCAGCATCTGTCGCGAGAGCGCGAGGAACGCACACGTAAACGTTTCGAGTCGGCCATGGCAAATACGGACAGAGCTCTGTTGCAACTAAAACGGTTCCACCTACCATTCCCGATACATTAGCTTGAACGCACTGCTCGCGACTCGGTGATCAAAAGCGATTCCGTGCGATAGTATTCTCCTCAACGCAAACTCGGTTGCATAATTTAATAATAATTGTTATACACCACTAACTCGCTAAGGTATCTGTTATGGAGTCCTATAAGGAGAAGCGGCACGCGTACAGACGGCGGTACCTGCCTTGGTATTGCCGACCGATGCGGCTAAGCGAAGAAGACTTAGAGCTTGGGGAGATGGAGGAGGAGGAGAGGGAGGAGGAGGAGCGGCGGCGACACGAGGAGAAGTTACAGATGATCATGGCCGCGAAACCCGTCAAGTGGACCACATACGCGATATTGGTCCGTTCCGTTTCCTGTGCACTTGGTCTCACATAGCTGTCGCATGATCATGATACCTAGAAACGCTAAACGCTTAAAATGGTAACGCTTCGGCCGCGATTGCATTTGCTCTTCACGCCAAGCCTCCCGCCGCTCTAGTGTCACTTATTGCCACGCTCAGCCGCTTCGTCTGGTGATTATCTCAGCCAGCTTGAGAGCTCTTAGAATAACGTTTTCTTCTGGTTTGATACTGAAAACTACGCGCACGAGACCTAGATCAGTCAGCGCACGCGATTTCGAGTTCTGTGCCACGTCAGGTACCTGTCACGCCGCGGCTCGAGACTGAGCCTGTCGTACTTAGAGCCGTTGTAGCAGTCGCTGACGGGATGGCATGGCGTGGCGTGGCGTCGCATTAGACACTGTAGCGAGATTGGCGTAATTTTATTATAAGACGCAACACGGCTCACCGAAGGTTCTCAGAATGACAGCGCGTCGGGCTTGGCGGTTACCGATTTTGCCAAAGCAGACGATGTTTCGCACCTAGTGGTGTGTCCGTGCGGGGTGCGTAGAAGGGGTAGTCAGCGCCGCAAACGCTGTGCTGTCACGTGGCTCCTTACGTGCGCGATGTTCTCTAGGGTTTCACTAAAGCGCGACTCGTTTAGAGTGTTCCAAGTTCAACCTTACAGAGGGGATGATTCCAACCGCTCGCTTCCTTTTACTCCCTACTCCACCATCCCCCCCCATCCCCCCGCCCCTTGTCCCACCCTTGCGGCCCTTGCATGCACGCAATCCGTCCGCGCTACAGGCTGCTGCGTTTTCCGCGCTGGTGCTGCTGGCGGTGCTGTGCTGGGCGTTCATCTCCGCCATGCAGCCCTCCCCCCACTCCCTCGCCCTCCACCTGCGCACGCAACGCCTTGACGCCGCTGCTCTCGCCGTCCTCTCCATCCAACAGGTAAAGTAACTGCACAATATGCCTGCTAACATGGGGTGACTTTTGAGTCGACTCAAAAATCTTTTCTTTTGAGTCAACTCAAAAGTCACCTCCTCTCCATCCAACAGGTAAAGTAAGTGCACAATATGCCTCCTAGCCTGGGCCCTAGGTAGCCGCCCTCCATTCCCTCCCCCTCCACCTGCGCGCTCAACGCCATGCCGCCCTCGCCGTTCTCTCCATCCAACAGGTAACTGCACAGTATACCTGCTAGCCTGGGCCCTGGGTATACGCTCTCCAACTCCAACTTAACCCCCCTTCCACCTGCGCACTTAAAGCCTCACCATTCTCTCTATCCAACAGGCGACAGACAAAACTATAAGTTCGCCTGCCTAACGTTCTGGGTAATGCTCCTCTCCTGCCCTTCACATCTCATAAAAAGCTCCTTTCCGCCCTCCCTGCTCCCCCCCATTCTCCCCCCCTCAACCCCGCCCTTCCACTCGTGGTCCCCTCTGACCCCCGCTCATTTAGAAGCCTTGCTCTGTGCTTTTAATCTGTTCGATGGCCTAACCGGGATCCCTCTGCCCCTCTGCTCCTCCGTTCATCTCCTGGTCCTTCTGTGCCTTCATTCCCTTCCCTTCCCACTTTCCCCCGTTTCCCCCCTCCCTAATCCCCCTTCTCCAACGTCTCCCCCTTCTCCCGTTCCCCCCTTTCCCCACCTCACCCCCCGCTTCCCCCATTTCCTCAGAGGCTGCAATACGCAGCAGTGGCGCAGGCCATAGCGCTGACGTCAGCTCTTAACGCTGTGGCCAGAAGCAACGTCAGCACTGGTAGACAGAGCAGCAGCAGCAACGTAACGAGCATCCTAGCACACTCCCAGGAGGTGCGGTCTTTATTTATGCCATACGTAACCTTATTTATTGTGGACACTCACTTCTCGCAGAACCCCAATCCCCCTCTACACAATACCCTTTTGAACCAAACCCCCTTTCCCATCTCCTTTCCCCCCGACCCCCCCAACACTCCCCTTTCCTGCTCTCCCCACACACACATGAACTTTACCCTCTCCTCCATCTGTCTCCCAAGGTTTTCCTGCACCATCCTCTGACCTCTTCTCCCTTACCCCCACTCTCCAGAACTCCCCTTACTCTCCTTCATATCAACAGTTGATACAGAGTCCAACCCCATGCAGAGTCCCAACTGCTTCCAACCCCATGCCCCGCTTCCTCTCTCCCCCTCCCCTCTGATCCCCCACCCCCTCCCTATTGCCACTGCAGGCCCTGCTAGCTCCGTCCTTCCCCTTCATTCGGCCTGACCTATCTCTCCGCGTCACTACTCACACGAATGCAACATCACACTCGAGTTAACTCAAAACTTCCCATGCCCCTCCCCTCCCTCCATCCCCCTTTGCCTCCACAGGCCCTGCTCGCCGCGTCCTTCCCCTTCATTCGCCCCGACCCATCTCTCCACATCGCTGCGTTCATTTCCCCAGACGGCTCCGTTGCCGGCTACCTGCGCCCTTCCCAAGGGCCCTTCCACAGCAGCGACGGCAGCAGAAGCAGCAGCAGCAGCAGCAGCAGCGGTGGCAGCAGCAGTAGAGATAGAAGCAGCAGCACGGGCAGTGGTAGCGCCAACAGCAGCAACAGCCTCGTTGCTGCGCCTCTGTACCGCATCCGATCTCCACTCAACCTGCCCCTCACTCCCCCAGATGCTGCTGCGGGAACCAGCCAAGATCTAGGGGCGCAACGGAGCTTGGGACTTCAGCAGCAGCAGCAACAGCAACAGCAACAGCAACAGCAACAGCAACAGCAACAGCAACAGCAACAGCAACCAGCCGGCTGTGACTGTGTCTGACCCCACACTCACTCAAACCAACGCCCCAACTGAGGTTCCTTCCAGACAACTGTTGAGACGCCCAGAAAGTCGGAGCATGGGAAACAGAAACCGGCTGGCTGTGACTGTTTCTGAACCCGCTCTGACTGACCTCCATGCCCCACCTGAGACTCCTTCGAGACGGCTAGCTGCCTCGGCTGCCATTGCCACCGCACCCCACCGTTCTGAGTTTCACAGACCTCGTGGGGCAAGAAAGGCTGGTGGTAGTAGGATATCAGGCAATGGTGGTGCAGCAGTATCCGTCAGTGCTGCAGCGGAACAGACTAGTACTGCATTGCCTGCTGCTGCTGCTGCTGCATCAACCCAGAGTAGAGGCACCGTCCACAGCAGCCATAGCAGCAGGTCCAGCGCCATTCCAGGTTCGGGACAAACCTCAGTTTCAGCCTCGGCAGCAGCAGTAACAGTATCAGCAGCCGCCGTCTCTCCTTCTCCTTGCACCCTTCTACCTTACGTTCTAGAGGGATCTTTTCTAAACGGTTCGTTAGTGAATCAGTCTGTAGTGAGTACAGCCATGCTACCTGACCTGCGCACTGTGCCGGGCTACAGTGCCTCTCTCTCGTTACATGCAGGCTCCTTTATAGACACATTCAGTACAGTGCCGCCTGCTAATTGCCCGCCCCCAGATAAAGCTCCCCCTCCTGATTGGCCTTTGACCTTTTTAGCAGCGCTTTCTCCCGTTTTTTTGGGTGAGACTGCCAGCTCAGCAATTGCCACGTCTGTGGGCGCTAGCCTGGCAGCTGTCCCCCTTGCTGACGTGGCAGCAGCTTGGGCTGGCATCAGCATCAACAGTGGCAGCAGGCCAGCCAGTCCGGAAGAAACCCAGAAGCTTCCTTCGCGTCTTCTGCTTGTTTCAGCCACTGGAGGGCTTTTGTTGTCCTCTTCTGGTGCAGCGGGCGGCCCTGTAGCACCTGATGACGTCATTGTGACGTCATTAATGTCTGCATTAGGTTTAGGCAAGCCTGCTGAGTCAGCAGGTCAGGGTGCTGAGTCAGCAGTGCCTGTGGTCGAACCAGTATCGGTGAACACGTCAGCAGCAGCGTTAGGCAGTGTGATGAGATCGCTACAGACAAATATCGCCGGCCAGGAGTACCATGTTGACTCTCTTCCTCTTGTCTTCAGCACTACTGCCAATTACGTGAGTCCACCACATGCCCTGGAGCTCTCTCACTTCCCCCATCCACCCGAAAATCCGATTTCACCTGCTTCTGCTCTCCCTGGCCACTCCCCTCTGTCCTTCATACTAAAATGGCGTATGCACCTCGCTTCCCTCTCACCCTCCCCTCGCCCACTCGCCTCCCCCGCTCTCCCCTTGCAGATCATCGTGTATGCATCAGCAGTGACCCTGTATGAGACACCACCCCCAACATCCACAAGAATCTCACCCCCTACCCCTTCCCACCCTTCCCCACCCCTACCCTTCCTGCCCCACCGCTCTCCCTCCCGCCCTTCAGACCATCGTGTATGCATCAGCAGTGGCCCTGTATGAGACACCGCCACCAACCTCCACGAAAATTGCGTCCCTCGTGCTGCTGCTGCTCTCCATCGCTGCTCTGCTCGCCTGTGCGCTGCTGCTCATCTCGGCCGTACGCAGGCGCAGTGGCAATGTGGCCTTCCTGCAGGTTAGTGTTTAGATGGATAGGTGTAAAGTGGGGTGAAGTGCGGTGAAGGTTGGGCATTTTTGCTGCTCTGCTCGCCTGTGCGACGCTGCTCGTCTCGGCCGTCCGCAGGCGCAGTGGCAACGTGGCCTTCCTGCAGGTTGGTGTCTAGATGGATAGGTGTGAAGGGATGAAGAGTGGGGTGACGGTCAGTCAGGCATCGCTGCTGCTCTCCACGCCTTGTGCGCCGCTGCTCGTCTCGGCTGTTCTCATGCCCAGTGGCAACGTGACCTTCCTGCAGGCTGGTGGTGGGGGGTGGGGGGGGTGAAGTGGGGTGCAGTGTGGTGCACTTTGGTGACCGGTGGTGGCTTCTTGGACTTGCATTGCCTCCTTCGCACATTCGTTTTTTAATATGCGTTACGCCGCTTGCCCTTTCTTCCACGGCCCTTTATCCCGTGCCCTCACTCTCCTGTATCCTCTTGTCTGCGGGTTGGTGGCAGGACGAGGTGCAGAGGCAGATGATGCTCACCAAGAGGGCGGAAACGAGGTCCCAGACCAAGGTAACGGTGATGGATGGTGCGGATGGCTGGTGGTGATGTACGGTGGTGATGGACGGTGGTGATGGACGGTGGTCGGGATGGTAACGATATGTCTCAGGTAGCATTCATGTTGCTTGCTAACTGTATAATTCATGCCCGTTTGGTCTGTGCCTGCTGGACTGCCGCGCTTCCATCCCTCTACCCCTCTGCCCCTCAATCCCCCTCGCCCCCACCTTCCTCCCCCCAGAGCGCCTTTCTCGCCAGCATGAGTCACGAGCTGCGCACCCCAATGGCAGCCATTCTAGGCCTGCTGGACCTCGTGTTGTGTGAGGACCTGCTGCCCGAGGTGCATGTGAACGTGCAGCAGATCAAGCTGGCAGCCACTGCGCTGCTAGGCCTGCTCAACTCCATCCTCGACCTCAGCAAGGTGAGTGTGGTGTGGGCGTGCTGTGGTGGGCTGTAAGGGAAGAGCCGTACACCTGGAGCGCGTGTGCAAGGAGGGCCTGCACCTCTACCTGTGCCTTCATGTCTATCTATGTCTCTCTGTGTCTGTGTCTGTGTGTGTTTATGTGTTCATATGTGTGCTCTCATGTGTTTATCTGCATGTTGGTGCTCAATGTGTGTGCGTGCATGCAGGTGGAAGCGGGCAAGCTGGTGTTGGCTGGAATTTGTTCACTATTGTTTGTTGGGGCATATTATTGATTGTCTGTGTGTGTGTGTGTGTGTGTGTGTGTGTGTGTGTGTGTGTGTGTGTGTGTGTGTGTGTGTGTGTGTGTGTGTGTGTGTGTGTGTGTGTGTGAGTGTGTATCTGTGTATGCTGTGTGCGTACATGCAGGTGGAAGCGGGAAAGCTGGTGCTGGAGTGTGTGGACTTTGACATCAGGAAAGACCTTGAGCTCATCGTGGAGATATTCTCCGTGCAGGTGAGATATTGTCAGGGCAGGTGAGATATTGTCAGGGCAGGTGAGATACTGTCACGACAGGTGAGATATAGGGCAGGTGAGATTTTTCAGGGCAGGTGAGATTTTTCAGGGCAGTTGAGATCTTCCCCGTGCAGGTGAGATTTATTCTTTTAAGCGAGCTACTATCAGATCAGTGATGCAGGTAGACATTATACACTTTGTATATTTAGTGGTGTAGTGTATATGTTCCATCAACAGTAAAGGTCTGCGATTTGAGCCAATCAGGGTGTTTTCATGCACATTTTTTTCCTGCCGTCAACACATCCGTGTCATGCTCACTCTCCCACCTCACCCCCCCTTTGGTGCGCACACGCTTCCCTCTCTCCCCATCCCAGGCTTTAACCAAAGGAACAGAGATCTCTCTAGATCTTTCAGATGATCTGACGCGCATGGTTCGGGGCGACCCGCACCGCGTGCGGCAGGTGTTTAACAACCTGCTCTCCAACTCCATCAAGTTCACCCCCAACGGCCACATCGTCATCCGCGCCTGGAACCGCCCCGCTCATGGCCAGCAACAGCAGCACGCGCAGCAGTACGGACAGCAGCAGCAGCACGGGCAGTTGGGATGGGCAGAAGGGGAACGGGCGGCGCTGCAAGGGGTCGGGTCGGGGGCGATGGAGGGGAGTCAGCACGGGGGAGGGGAAGGGGGCGGGGGGGAGGAGAAGGAGAGGGGGAAGGGGAAGGTGGAGCTGGTGTTTGAGTTGGAGGACACGGGGTGTGGAGTGCCCAAGGACAAGAGGGAGGCGATCTTTGAGACGTACGGCCAGGCGGACCAGGCGCATGGGCGGATCGGCACGGGGCTGGGCTTGGCTATCGTGCGATCACTAGTGAGACTTGGGTTTAGCAGCCGTGCAGAGGGGGGCGAGGCGGAGCATGTGAAAGAGAGCTGGCGCCTGGGACCTTGAGGCATAGAGATTCTGTATCTGTATCTGTGCTGTGCCCTTGTGCATGCCTCAGCTTGCTGTCTCTCTCCTGTTCTCTTCCCTCCTCTCCCTACATCCCCTCAGGTGGAGATGATGGGGGGCAAGATAGCCGTAGTGGACAAGCCCACGCCTGGCCCAGGCTCCCTTCTCCGCTTCAACCTCTCGGTCGACCGCCCCGACCCCACAGCAGCAGCCGTGCACGCAGGGGGGGCAGGAGAAGGAGAGGTGGCGTCCGGATGCCAGAGGCATAAAGATGCAGTGTCTGGCCCCCTGCGCGTGTTTTCGCTTACTGTGTCGCTCCTGTCCGCTTCCCTCCTCCTCCCTCCCCTCGCAGGTGGAGATGATGGGGGGCAAGATAGCAGTGGTCGACAAGCCCACGCTCGGTCCAGGCTCCCTTTTCCGCTTCAACCTCTCCCTCGACCACCCCGACCCCGCAGCAGCAGCCGTGCGGGCGAGCGGGGAGGCGGAGGAGCAGGAGAAGGAGAGCTGGCGGCTGGAGGCGCCGCTGATGCGCGCGCTGTGGGACGGAGACGTGCTGCTGGTGATGGGGGCGTGCCCTGGCAGGGAGGTGGCGGGGAAATGGTTGAGGCAGCGAGGGCTGACAGTGGTGGAGGTTGGGGCGTGGGAGGAGATGGTCGACCGCATTCGCCAGGTGGGTGCTTGATGGGAATCTGCTGGCTCTGTTGTGATTAATTTTGAGAGTCGTACGGGTTTTTTGAGATTTCTCAAAAAACATACACGGAATCTGGTGGTTCTGTTGTGATTAATTTTGAGAGTCGTATGGGTGACTGTGGTGAAGCAGTAGCAGCATCAGAGGAGAGGGCTTGAGCAGCACAGGCAGATTTCTTTTCCATGAGAATATTCTATTCCATGAAAATGGACGAGTCCTTGTGTTTCATCCCCCTTCTTTCCTTATCTCCCCTTATTCTTCTCCCTTCCTTCCTTCCCGCCTCCCTCTCCTCTCCCAACGCAGGTAGCAACAGCAGCAGAGGAGAAGGCGAGGGCAACGGAGGCAGCATACGAGCGCATGAGAATGGACGACCCGTTTCTGCTCCTCCCATCCTTCCCCAACGCCAACCCTAACCCTAACCCTAACCCTAATTCTGACTCCACTGCCGCCCAGCCTCTAAGCTCTGCCGATGCTTTTGCCGCCCTGCAAAGGTTCGGAGATCCGCCAGCCGGGGCAGCAGGTTCGGGAGAAGCAGGGAAGGAAGGTTCGGGGCTAGGTTCGGCGGCGCCCTGGCCGAGGGTCGGGGGACTGGGGCCAGGGGGAGGGGGAGGGGGAGGAGGGCTAGGAGGGGGACTTCGCAGGCAAACCAGTTTGGGGGTGGCTCTGGGGGGAGGGGGAGGATTGGGGGGAGCGTTGGGGGGAGGTTTGGGGGGAGGAGGGGGAGGAGGCGGAGGGTTGATGGGCAGTGGAGGGGGAGGGCTGATGGGGGGAGGAGTGGATCTGGAAAGCTTCAAGAAGGGCATTTTGTCGCTTGGCCTGAGGGATGCTGGTGGCAGTGCTGGGTCTCTGCTGTCGGCAGGTAGCGGGGGAGGTGGAACTGGGGGAGGTGGAGGGGGAGGAGGGAGTGGTGATGGTGCGCGGAATGGGCTAGGGGGTGAGATATCAGGGGCAGGGGTGGAGGCAGGGGGAAGGATACCTGGAGTGGCTTCTGTAGAGGCAGCAGCAGGAGGCGCAGCAACAACAGCAGGCGAGGCAACAGCAGGGGGAGCAGCAGCAGCAGGAGGAGCAGCAGCAGCAGGGGAGAAGGGTAGCATTGTGGGTGGGATTCGCAGTGCAGGCAGCTCGCCCCTGCGGTTGGCGCGCATAGCGAGTGTGAGCAGCGGGCACAGGAGACAGAGCAGCCTGGAGCGAATCGGAGCACTCTTTAGCGGAGCAGGAGGGGGACCAGGGGGAGGGGGAGACAAAGATGCAGGAGGGGTTGGGGTGGGTGGATGGGAGGCGCCTGGTAAGAGTGGTTTAGCCAAGGAAGGGATGGGGGGTGGGGGCGCAGGAGGGGGGACAGGAGGGGGAACAGCAGGGGGAGTAGGAGTGGGAGCAGGAGGGGGGGCGAGGAGAGGACTCGAAAGGACAGTGAGTTTACAGTCTGATAAAAAAGTTCTGGGAGGGGGAGGAGCAGCAGCAGGGGGCGGTGCTGGTGGTGGGCTGTGGAAGCAAGGAAGCTTGACCCTCGGGAAGGTGTTTCGGCGGGGCAGTGGGGGCAGTGATGCGAGCTCTGGTGGGGCGGGAGGGGGTATGGGTGGCAGCGGCGGCAGCGGGAGCAGTAGCAGCACCAGCGTGTGGCGGCAGAGTAGCATGGAAGGGCTGTTTTCGAATGCGTTTGTGCGTAACGACCGGAAGAGCAGCGGGTTTTCAAGCACGAACAGCGACGGTGAGGATATCACTAACATTAATATTAATAATGGTGATGATAATAGTAATCACGGGCAAAAACAGGCTACTGTGGCGCTCGTTGTAGTGGATACCTGCATGCTTCCGGGGCTGACGTTACCGTTACCGTCGGACAACAAGCAGCCCGGTGATTGGTCGGCGCAAAACCCGCCGCCCCTCCCGTCGTCTGCTGCTGCTGCTGCCGCTGCCACGGCTGCCTCGGCAGCAGCAGGGCAGGCAGAGGCTCTCGGCACAGCTGCTGCTGCAACGACAGGGGCGGGAGGGGTAGGAGGGGCGGGATGCGGAGGAGGAGGAGGGGGAGGGGGGAGTGGGGCAGGTGGAACAGCAGCAGGGGGGGCGGGGGCGGCCGGGGGTGCAGGGGCAGGAGCAGAGGCGGATCTAGGCCCTCTGAATGAGCTGTTAGCGCTATTGGAAATTTGCAGGGCGGGTGGGGGTAATAGCTCTCTGCCTGTCATGTGGTTGGTGGCTGCTAACACGCCTGCCTCTGTGCGTGAGCGGTTGAGAGCGGCCGGGTGCGATACTATTGTGTCTAAGCCCCTGCATCCGACTAGGATGGAGCAGCTGTTGAATCTGGCTATGGATATTAAGTACGGGATTGGGGGGAATGCGGAGGGGGGTGTGGGAGGGGAGCGAGGAGGTGAGGATGGGGAGGAGAGAGAGGGGGATGGGGAGGGAGAGGGAGCTGGGGGGAGTGAGGGAGGTGCAGGAGGAGGGGTGTGGGGGGTTCTGGACGAGTTGGGGAAGGAGAAGGGGAGGGAGAGAGGGAGGGAGAAGGGAGGAGGGAACGGAGGAGTGAAGGGAGGAGGGAAGGAGGGGAAGGGGCGCAAGAGTGTGAATGTGAATGTGAGGATTCAGAGGTGCTTGAGTGCGGTGGATGAGGAATTGGGCCATGCAGACGAGATGAGCAATGGAGGGGAGGATTCCTGCCTCTCCACCCCTGTTGGTAGTTCTGAGTTCGATCTCACGACCCCGAGGTCTGGTGATGGGGCGTGGGAAGGGAGGGAGGGGAGGGACAGGAGGGAGGGGAGAGATAGGAGGGAGGGGAGGGAAGAGAGGGAAGGGAGGGACAGGCCGAGCACTTGTGGTGATGATGAGAGTGATGGTGATGGGGAAAGAGGAGGTAGAGGAGCGAGAGGAGAAAGAGATGATGGATGGGAGAGAGGGGAGAGAGGGGAAAGAGGAGAGAGGAGAGAACGAGGGCAAAGAGGAGAGAGGAGAGATAGAGCGGAGAGAGGGGAAAGAGGAGAGAGAGGAGAGAGAGGAGAGAGAAGAGACGGCCAGTACCGTTCGCAAAGAAGGAGGGAGGGTTCCGAGAGTGGTGATAGCGACAGATACGGCGATGAAGCAGGGGACACACGAGCGGGAGGAGGAGGGGCAATCACGCCCAGAACGCCCCGCACACCAGGAACCCTTCTCGTGCCATTCCCTCGCTCTGAATCCCGGGGGTCTCAAGACGGGAGCAAAGTGGGCGGGCAGGAGGAGCATCGGCGCGGGTCTTTCCGAAAAGACTCGGTGGCGTCACTCTCTCTCATCTCGCCTCGCTCCCCCTCGTCTCTCTCCTCCGGATCCTCTCCTTCTATGGATCGCTCTGCTAGTGGACGGCTCTTGCCGGCCATTGAATCGCTCTTCTCCCCTCGCAAGCACTCGCAGTCTCACTCTCAGTCACACTCCCAGTCGCATCGTGCCTCCTCCTCCTCGTCCTCTTCCTCTCGTGCCAAGCGTACTGGCAGCGGCAGTGGCAGCAGAAGCAGAGAGAGGAGCGGAGGGGTTGCGAGTGCATCGGCTGCTTCGGCCCACCAGAAGGCTGTTTTGGGCCCGGCGTCAGCTCTGGCAGGTGCGGGGGTGTGTGCATGAGTGAGTGAGTGTGTGAGTGAGTGCGCGCGAGTGTGTGTGTCCGTGTGCGCGCGGGCACAGGCATGCATATGTCACTGTGTGTGCAGGTATGTGTTCAATTCTCTATGCTTTTCTGTCTGATTCCGTGACCATGCATGCCCATCTGTCAGTATAAAATCCAGGATCTTACTACCCAACTGGATCTTACTGCCCAACTGGATCTTACTGCCCAACTGGATCTTACTGCCAAACTGGATCTTACTGCCCAACTGGATCTTACTGCCCAACTGGATCTTACTGCCCAACTGGATCTTACTGCCCAACTGGATCTTACTGCCCAACTGGATCTTACTGCCCAACTGGATCTTACTGCCCAACTGGATCTTACTGCCCAACTGGCACAGTGGCACTCTATGTCCACAACCATACCTCATACACAAACCCCCCCATGCCGGCCCATCACACCACCCCCGCCAGGTGTGCACATCCTATTGGCGGAGGACGTGGCAATGCTGCAGCGGGTGGCGGTGCTGATGTTGAAGAAGATGGGCGCGACGGTGGTGGTGGTGAGCAACGGTCAGGAGGCGTTGGATGCGGTGACGAGGCAGATCCGAGGGGAGGCGGGCGGGGGAGAGGCGTTTGACCTCGTGCTCATGGATTGCCAGGTGCGTGGTGGGGGGAGGGTAGAAGGGGCAGGCGTGTGGGGGGGGAAAAGAGGGGGGAGTTTGGACTGCTAGGGGCGTGGGTGGGGGGAAAGCAGGGAGGAGGAGAAGGGAGGGGACAGAAGGACTGCCAGGGGCGTTTGACCTCGTGCTAATGGACTGCCAGGTGCGTCAGGGAAAGCGAAGGGGCAGGCGCGTGGGGGGGAAAAGGAGGGGAAGGAGAGAATGGACTCAAACCCAGGCATGTGGGTGGGTTGGGGGGTGAACGAGAGGGAGATGAGGACGGATAGAAGGGGATTGGGGGTAGGAAAGGAGGCAACTGTTGGTGGCAGTTCTGAGAGGCACTGGTGGAAGGTTGGGGGGGTTGGAGGGATGTGTGCACTGACAGGTTGTGGATGGTTCTGACTAGATAGGGAAATTCTTCCGTCGATGCATGTGCACATAGATGGGATCTTGTGCGTCGCTGCGTGCCCATTTTTAATGATGGAATGTCACACACAGTGCTCCGTGCCTTCCTCATCCACCTTCCCCAATGTATGCCCCTGTGTATCACACCCATAACCACTTGCTGCCCACCTGCCGCCCATCTGCCCCCACTTTCCCCCACCCCGCTGCAGATGCCTGTGTTGGACGGGTACGCGGCAACGCGGGCAATAAGAGAGGTGGAGAGGGGTGCACAGGTGCACATTCCGGTGGTGGCACTCACAGCTAATGCAATGGCAGGGGACCACCACAAGTGCCTAGATGCCGGCATGGATGGGTATCTCACTAAGCCTATAGACAGCAAGCTACTAACGGAAACGGTGAAGAAGCTCTTAGGGGAACGGAGGAAGCACCAGTGACTGTACAGGGGAGGCCGGAGTGGTTGAATCGGAAGTGCTTGTATCATTGTATGTATGTGCTCCTGTGTGTGTAAATTCTTGCGGTGTGGCTGTGTGCACTTACCGTACTAATGACTACTGATAGCTTACGTCTGAAACAGTCTATTTGCGCATGATAGGTGTAGCTCATTTGCTTACCGTGATGTCAGAATTCTTCATTCATTAGAGAACCCTCCAAACCAGCTACAGTACTTTGTACCATTCTTCAACTCTCAGCAATTTTTAGATGTTCATGGTTGGGTGTGCATAGGTTTGGAGGCAAGGCAAACAGTGCGAACAGGATAGATACTGTAGCTGGTTTGGAGGGAAAAAATAGATACTGTAAGTATAAAAGAAAGAAAAAAACAAAAACAAATAAAGGCAAAAGAAGGGTACAATAATCTAAATCGTATTAGCCCAAATGGGCACGAATGTGGTCACTAGAGGCAGGTCAGACTCAGTTCACTTTCAGTTCAGTGTACGCAAGCAGTGGAAAATTATGCTATGCAGTGCGTTGTAGAGCTGTTTGCCTTGATTCACTGCTCTGAACCTCTATCCACAGGTCTGAACAGTGATACCTGAACTGGAAAACGAACTAGGCGTGACCCACCCTAATTCAGTAAATAAGAAGCCATTGCGCGGTTCGTGCACGCAGCACACTTCCTTATACCACTCACCACACTGAAGCCCTTCACTACGGTAATCACCTGAACCATCACCGAAGCCGCATCCACAGCTGGAGGTTCACTCACTGCTTCACCCTCACTAAGCGATCCTCCGCCAATCGGGACTCGCCGCTCGGAGTTACCGCAGGCCGCTTCAACCCATTCTTCGACATCGACGGAAACCTCCACAGTCCCACACCCGGCGAAAATACTTTAGGTGTCGCAAACGGGTAACCAGAGCCAGCCTTCGGCGTAGCTCCCTTGGGAGTAAATCCCACGGGCGTGAACACCTTAGGTGTGAATCCCTTTCCGAACGATAGTCCCCTAGGAGTCAACGCGCTGAACATGTCAGAAAACATGTCTTTAAAACCCCCATCGCCATTAGGCGATCCGCTCTTCCCTTTACCCTCTCCGTGAATCCCGGCTCCCGACTTTTCTGCCGAGCTTTTGTCTGCAGGCGAGCCGTTATCGGAACTGACATGTGGAGTGAAGATGTCAGCAGAGTCTAAAACTTTGTGCATCCACGTGTACCCGTGTCGTTGGCTTGGATGCTCCGGGACCTCAATGGTGACGTCATCATGCCCGTGCAGATACATGGGCTGCTCCAGATCTGCCGTCGCTAGTCCCGAGGCGAGTGATGGCGCGACGACAGCAGCAGCGGACGCGCCGCCAGTAGTTGCGCCGCCAGTTACGCCAGTATCTGGGCCGACAGTGTCAGTGGAAGCAATTTGAGGACTGCGAGGAACCTTCCAGGTTCTCGCAGCTGCCGGAGCGCACTGAGACTCAGCCATGGTTACATTCTCATAGCTCGCCGACGATAATTTCTCGAACGCGCTGCTGCTGTTACCGTTGCAAGCACCAGGCAGGTCCGTGTTGCTGCCGTGTTGTGACTGAAATCCCCCGAATCTCCCGCTCTCCTCCGCGTCTGTCGCGCTCCCGCCCCATCCCGAGACGAATCTTTCCGAGTTATCCACTGAAGAATCCACGAACGCCTCCGATACAAGCTGCACCGACGCAGTCACATCGTCGCTCCCGGATTTCACGGACCGATCTCCGTCGTCGATTATAATCGCGTCCATCATCGTGCTTAGAAGCATGCGCTCCTCGTCATTAGCAGATCCTTTAGTATCACCGCCGGTCATGCCACTCTCAACCTCGTCTTTCGCGAGAAGAAGATCGACAAACCGCTCGGCGCAGTCGTCGCCGCCACACATCGCCGATGCAGAAGCCGCGCCCGGTACAGTCATCTGCTTCGCTTGAATCACACTGTTAACAACATCGCAATTGTCCGTCACGATTTGTCCCTTCGCCATAGTAACATGCTCCGCGAAGGCGCCGAGCGTCAGCGACGGCGCGGGCGACATCGGTCGTGTGACCGTCGCGGAGCTCAAGTTCGGCGAAGCCGGCGCGATTGACGGCGGGTTACGCGGCGCGTTTGGCGGGGCGACATTGCCCTTGATGAAGACACGGCACAACACCAGCGCCGCGAGCTCGCTCCCGGCTTCCGCTTCGAGTCGATACTCGTCCATAATCCAGTCCGTCTTAGATCCCTTGTGGTCGCTCGGCCCGGACTTTGAATAGTAGACTAATTTCTTCTTCATTCCCGTTACGCCGCCGTCTGGAAGGGCCTTTTGCGACGCGTGGCCGTTGCTGCTGCTGCTCTTACTCCTGCCGAGGCGCACCGCGTGATCGTTTCCCGTGGATTTCCAGAATCCGACGACCGTCTCGCCGCATTTCACGGAGCGTTCTTTTTTCGAGCCATGCTGCGACGGGCGGTAGTAGAAAAACCATTCGCCGTCGAAGCACGCGTCGGAAGGCAGGCTGCTCGGGTCGCACCGCAAAACGTTAACCTCGGGCAGCTGAAGGAGTGGACGCGCAGCGTAAGCTTGCCCCGATGTGCGGTTAAGGAGGTAAGAGAAAACGAGTTCTTCTTCCGACGGTCGAAAACGGTAACCGACTGGAAGGGAGTGTAACAGCGGTGAAGCTGCCATCCTCACACCGAGGTTGGGATCGAAACAATCTATTAAGAGAAGCCCCTAACTACGAGTTACGACCACACTACAACGTGAGCAAGTTCTACTACACGCTAGTAATCTGCGAGTATTGCAGGCTCAACGTTCAGGGTGGAGATGTCGCTAGTTGTAGGGAGAGTTGAAGTGGATAGCACCAGAAATCTTCGGGATAATGGGTGTGGTGTTTATGCTTTTAGCCACCTCAAGGGCAGTCATGCCCTTGCTCCAGACGGCTGTTGCGCCAGAGAGAACTCGCTCACTCGCTTCTCCTCATCTCGTGTGAGGCGGGGGAGGATACTGTACAGCACAACCACCACTCTGCGGCGGCAGGAGCTTGGAAGGAGGAGGATGAAGAGCTTTCGGCAATTGGCTGGCTGGTCTAAGCTCGGACCAAGGCTTGGTCTGTGCCGGGCTGCGTGGCCTGGTCTGGCCTGGGCTGCGCTGACCTGGGTTTGGCGTAACGCCATCCGTTTCACGAATCACAAGTGGCTGCTCAGGTTTAGCCCCGTCCGAACCGAAGGGAGGCAAGGCAAGCAACAGAACTGTACAGTGCTTCAGGCGCGTACACTTGATGCTCGTTTGAGGAACCCATGGTTGCCTTGTAAAGAGGGCGCTAAATGATTCTTGCATTTCGCAAACATTTCGTTGATTTGCAGCTAAAAAAAAGGATTCTTTCGTGCTTATAAAAAAACATTTGTAACCTATTCGTTGACATTTGACTTCAGCCTCTTCAGTTTGACATCGGTTTCTTCGTTACTATTGGTTCAGAATCACTGCAACTTGCGTGAGGTGCTTGTAACTAGGGTGCAACTGGCTGCTAGAAAAAAACATGGTGCAGGCTTTCTCAAATATGAAGACCAAATTCGCGTGCAGGGGTTGGGCATCATGTGTACAGCAGGCTCCGCCGAGCAGGCATGCGGGGTTTGGGCGAACAATTGACAGGGTGGTGGCTGCGGTGTGGAGTGGAGGAGAGGCAAGCTGGTGGGGAGGAGATACAATTGATGCCTGTTTGAGCCCCTCCCGGTTGCCTTATGAAGGGGGCGTATAAGCTGTCACGAGCAGTTCGCATATAATTCGTCAATTCGCAGCTAGCTAAAAAGAATTCGCATGTGCTTATAAACAAGACTCTGCTACCTAGTTACCTAGTTTGACTTCAGTCTCTTCTGCTTGACTTCGGTCTCTTCTGCTTGACGCGCTTGTAATGTAGGTGCATAAGGCTGGGGAAACAACCTCGGGTGCAGCGTATCCATCCGGCGCAAGGCAAATTCGCGTGCATGGGGTGAGCATCAATTGTATATGGTTGGAGAATCAAGAGTGAGGAAGAAACGACAAGATTCATTGACTGCCGTGAACCATTAATCGATGAACTAGCCATCACAGGTGGCATGTTCTAATTGGAAGAACTGATGCGTCGTGCGGAACCGAGGTGGAAGACTGTCGCACCCCATCGGGAGACTGGCGCTTCCAGGGCATTAACCCTCATTTTCCGGGTGCCCCAAAACGAATCGACAGCCCTAATGAAGTGGGGGATATTCTTGGCGGAGAGGTCGTGTGTCTCCAAACGTCGCGCACAAGTGCGCAGCACAGCACGGGTGACGGGCGGTCTCTAGGCGACATCAGGTCGCACAACTTTTGTACGCTCCCTGCGGTCAACTACGTTTTGTCATGGTGCGAAACGGTAAATCTACGTTTCGTCGAAGCGTGTCGCATTGCTGGATGGGGTTGTATTGCACTGTGTTGTCTTCGACAATGGCATGTTTTGCATACGGGATAGGTTGGGAGTGATGAATCTAAGAAAGTTAGTTAACAAATCCAGCATACACAACTCCTACTTCAATAATGTTCAAAACAAAGGCCAACATAGATAACACCTAGTCAGGCTTCGAGATCACAAGGGTAGCGCACACACATCTACTCTAGTGTCATCGTCATCTCTCTCGGTAACCACTTCTCTTTCTCCCTCTTTGCCTCAGCTTCGTTCTAGTTCTCTAAAACCTAGTTCATTCATGACACATATATCTGGTCCAGATTAGCATCAACTGGCATAAGAATGTAAGTATTGTGTTCAGTTTTTCCTAGTGCACCAACTTTGGACTCCGTTTTAAGCTGTTCCCAGTGAGTGTGGGCTTGCAGCGTGCCGCGCAACCTGAGCAAGTGTGGTTAGAGCGTTGCCCCTACCTGCCAGCTTTCCAGCCAGACCACTAGGAGAAATGCTTGCACCACCAGCACCACGCCACCACCGTCCGCAACTGATCCTCGCTGATTTCGCTTGAGATTTTCGTACAATGCGTGGCTCTTGCGCACTGCGATTCGCCTCGAGATCTGCTTTGGCTCACGAAATAATTCTTCATGTGGTAACCCCTATACGTTGATTCGTCACCCCCTCTCGCAAGCTCAATTTCGCGAATGCGCCTCTCCTGTGCGATTCCAGCTTCCATCCAACAAGCCAAGTCATCTTTCATCTATAACCGGCAGCCGCACTCACCCCAACTTCGACACGAGGAGGATTTGGTACACGAAGTGATCGTCTTTCGTGATCGACTTTCTTTTGGATCATAGAGCCATTGTAGCGTCACTACCAGCTCTTGCATTCGCACCGTGAAAGTAGATTACGACGACCTAAACCAGCTTAGCCCGTCTCTGACTCTGGCAGTCGACTCCCACACGCTCGACTAGTAATCGGCCACCCCTCCACCCCACAGCCCTGCTAATACCAATCAGGGCCATCACTTTCAAGCCGGTCATAGCGGGAGTTCCCGCGGCAATGTCGCGAGAGGAGAGAGCGTCCCCGTCAATGCCGACGCTGCTCGTTCTCGTTCTGCTGCTGCTCGGAGCTCAACGGGCCCGCATTGTTCAAGGACAGAACGGCGCTTTTCAAATCCGTGGATTGGTATGTTTCACTGATTGGCAATCTCAGTGTCCCTTCCTCCCTCTCCCCCCCCAGTCCCCTCCCCTCCTCCTCTCCCCCTCCTCCCCCCTTCTTCCTTCTCCATATTTCCCGCCCGCCGCCCTCCCCACCCCCACCCAACCGATTCCAAAAGTGGCAGGCAGTCCCAAACGCTAAACCTCCCCATCTTCCCGCACGCTCCCCATCCTCCGAGCATCACTTTGAGATACTTGTTACGGCGTGCAACAATCGCAGCTTTAGTAAAATGCATCCGCCGCTCCCGCCGCGTGTAACCTGTGCCAGGTGGACGAGAGTCCGGGTCGCATGCTGGAGCGGCATCAGTACGAACAGGAGGAGGCGGCAGTGCTGCAGTCGTCATCCTCGCTACAAGCAGGCCACGAATCTCGGGAAGAAGAGCATCATGTGCGGAGGTGAGAGTGGAGCCTTGCCGCACCAACGAGCATACATGCCGTTCGCTTAGCGAAGAGTCTATTAAAGTCCCCAAGGCTAGTATAGTAAAGCTACTAGCCCCATCTAACTTCCTTGCAAGCTACTACCTTCGTATCGCTTCATCGTCCGCTTTTTCCGAGGATGGGCATCGTGCACTCGTGCGCTCGCGCTCTCTCCCATTTTTCGTTTCCAGGCTCCTCGCTGCTAGCGCTAACCGCACGCGCCGTTCCCCCATTTTTTACGCTCCCCCTTCCCCTCCTCCCGCCTGCCATCGCTTGCGCTAGCAGAGTGTTCGAGGCGGGGCAGGGCTCGTGCGGCTTCCCCGACATGCGCGCAGACGCGGACGAGTGCGTGGCGGACCTGGCGGAGTTTCCCGTGCTGAACGCGCGCAGCCGTTCCGCCAGCGCGCGGAAGCTGGCGTGCCTGGCGCACAACTACCTGCGCCCGTGGACGGGCATTCCGGGCGTCACCGCGGGGATGGGAGCGCGGGGAATGATCAATCCCGCGATGCTGCAGCAGATGGGCACCATGGCGAACGTGCGTTACAAATACAGCACATTCCCTCCCGCACTCCTGCCCCACACGTACCCACACCCCGTTCCCTTTCCCCCGCTTTCCCCCCCCCCCCCCCCCCCCCCCCGACCCGCCCTCCCCTTTCGGCCCACCACGACATCCCCCTGGTATTTCGCGATTACCTTACCTCTCCACATTTCACATCTTGCCTTCGATTCTCTCGCTCCTGCCCCCCACCACCCTCCTCCCTCTCCTCCCCACACCTCCACTCTACCTTCCCGTCTCTACATCCTCGTGTCTGCATCACGTCCCCTTTTCCGCTGCTCATCCCGTCTATTTCCAATGCTTGCCCCGTTGCTTCGCGGTTGCGCGAATGGCTGCGCGCAGGTGCTGTCGTGCGCGGGCCACGTGCGCATCGTTCGCGGGAAGATATTCTTCCGATTCGGCAACTTCGAGTTCGACTGGTACCGCCTCAGGCGCTTCGTTTTCTCCGTGAAAATGATCCAGGTGAGCACGTGTGGCAATATCGAGATGCGCTAGCTTCTATAGCGGGGACACGCCAGAATGCTGAGACAATGCCATTCATATGCAGACATTATTCGTGAAGCTAATTTCGAACGAAATTCTGTGCGACCTTCTCAAACATTAATGACACGTCACCTCATATCCATCCACCCAACCAAAACCGGCTTATCAATCTCCTGATTTGCCAAAACTCAATCCCTCCAACCCGTTGCACATCCCCGTTATACAACACAGGATGCGATACGCGAATACAAGCTACACAACCTGAACGCGGAATTCTTCCTCAATACATGCGATATGTACATTAGCAAGGCCAGCAGCGTCGCCAAGCCGCTAGCAGGGCTGCCCATTTTCAGCGTACACGGCGCGCCGGGCAGCATCGACATTCTTTATCCTGACCCCATCGACCTCAGCAGCAACTATTTCCGGGAAGCAGAAGATGAGGTGAGAAAGCACACAATCTGTGATAAGGCCTTGAGTGATTGACAAGGAAGTGAGCGTCTTTATCCCGACCCAGTGGACCTCAGAAGCAACTATTTCCGGGAAGCAGAAGATGAGGTGAGCATGGGCAGATTGGTGACAGCACGTGAACAGAGACTGGGCAGTTGGAGGGCAGGTGAACGGGCATTTGTTCTAAAAAAGGACGTCATTCTTGAGATCATTAGCTATTTATGCAGGTACATCTCTCATGTCCTTTACACTCCTCCAGACATTTCCTCTCGATTATCACACAATGTCCCTGTGTATAACATCTTGAGCATTAAAATCTGTGCCATTGCATGTGTGTAGATTCCATGGGAGCAGAAGGAGAGCCGAGCTGTGTTCCGAGGTGGCATGACCAATTACAAGGTCATCTACCCCAAGCACTGGCGGGGCAGCCCTCGATTCCGAGTGCACAGGTGAGGCACCACATGGCATCACATGGCATCACATGGTATGGCATTACATAGCATGGAATCACATGGTATGACTAATTACAAGGTAATCTACCCCAAGCACTGGCGGGGCAGCCCTCGATTCCGCATGCACAGGTGAGGTGGTATTGTGTGATTTTGTCGTCTTGCGTTACAATTATACTACATGGCACCGTATAGCACCACATGGCACCACATGACACCACATGGCACCATATAGCACCATATAGCACCACGTGGCACCACATGGCACCATGTAGCACTGTGTTCTGCACGCACCAGCATTCAACTCACTCTCACTCTCATTCCGCACTCTCCTTCCGGCCCTGTCTGTTCCGCCACTCGCTTCCCCTTCTGCTTCGGTCCCCAACCAGGATGTCGGACGTTCGGCCGGACCTGCTGGACGCCAGGGTAGTGGGGGGAGTGGACCCTGAGTACCGTGCAGGGTGAGTGATGAATCATAAAATGTGAATACTCCTTAGTAGCTGTCTGTATATTCACACACTCCAATAGCTCTTTTAGTTGGCAATTTGGACTCAGTTAACCCAAGTAGCCACCAATGGGTCACAGTTGCTTCCCTGGTGGGACTTTTGAGTCGCCTCAAAAGTCTACAGGTTGGACTGAAATACCTAGCGGAAGGTGGAAACGGGCGGTGAGCATGTGTGCGGCGAGCTGTCGAGCAGTCAGAAGCTATACTGATCAAGCAGGTCAGCCAGTCCACCCAGTTCTTCATTGCGCCCGCTCCTTCTTGCACCCCTCCATCCTGCTCCTCCCCCTTCCCCTATCTCTTTCCCTCCACCCTCCTTTTCACCCCTTTCCCCCTGCAGGCTTCGTAAGGATGCCATCGCAGTTGGTAAGCGCCTGGACATGGATGGCGGCACGGGCAGTGGGCGTGTGTGCGGCGTGCTGACGAGCAGCCAGGTGCTGATCAAGCAGACCAGCGAGTACACCCATTTCTTCCTTCCCCCACTCCATTGCACCCCTCCAACTACTCCTTCCTCCCCTCTCGCTTTTCCCTGCCCTCTCATCACCGCTTGCCTCCCTGCAGACTCCGGCAAGATGCCATCTCATTCGGTAAACGCCTAGGCCCGGCAGACCTGCAGAGCTACAAGTATGAGCTTGACGTGGACGGCGGCACGGGCAGTGGGCGGGTGTGCGGCGTGCTGTCAAGCAGCCAGCTGCTGATCAAGCAGGCCAGCGAGTACACTCAATTCTTCGACCCGCTCATGTGCCCGTACCGGCACTTCCTGCCCACTCACCGGTTCTTCTCGGACCTTTTCGGGCAGATTGAGTGGGCGAAAAGGAATGATGGCGAGGCGAGGCGGATTGTTGGACAAGCGAACGAGCTCGCAAGGTGGGTGTTGCTGTCATGCGTGATGCACATTCCAGTGATGTGTGTATGTTTGACAGCCGGCTCACAAATCTCTCGTACTTCCCTCACACTACCCTCGCACATCTCATACTTTTCTCGCAATTCTAACACACGTCTCTCATACCTCCCACGCTTTCCCCCACACAACTCTCTGATTTCCCTCACAGCTCCCCTCACACATCTCTCATACTGCCCTCCCACTTCCCTCACACTTCCTCTCCCCTCCCTCCCTCCCCACCACCCTCATTACAGTGACATATGCACGTTTGACGGCCGGCGACTCTACTGGGCCATCCTTTTGGCCAAATACTCCGTGTCTGCACTAGAGGACAACCGCAACATCACGCAGCCACCACTGTTCACGTGCACTTCGCCGCCCACCCAAGGAGATGTGGACGGCCCCAAGAGCCAGACGAGGAGGCCGCCGCCCAGATGGCCGCCCAGATGTGACAGTGTGGACGCGGAGAACCAGCCACCTTGTACTCATTATTGCATAGGGCCTCTCGAGGACGAGAGCAAGTGGAAGTGGCTCACTGTAGACTCGCTTGATGGGATTGAGGTGTACAAACCTCACAATAAGCGCATCAAGTTCCAGGATATGTGAGCAAGTGGGGAACACTGGCACACTGAGAGCATCTGCTAATAAATGCGTGTATGAGTAGCACTTTGAATAATGCTAGTTTGCAAGTACAAATATCATGTCTATTTTCAGCCCTTTCAATATGGTCACTTTATTGAAGCTTGCCGAATCCAATCTAGAAGTTATCCACCACCCACCCACTGGAGGAGGTAAGGCACGAGTACAGATATACTCATCCACCCGTAATCGATTGCTACATTCTGCAATTGCGATCTTGACGATCCACCCGTAATCGATTGCTACATTCTGCAATTGCGATACTGACGATCCACCAGTTTTTTGTTCCTAATAGTGTATGCCAACTGGAAAAATGTGTTGTGTAATCAATCAACTTAACTGTTATGCACTCCATTCAATATTTTTACAAGGTGTGAATGGATTTCATTAAGGTATTTGTCAACCGGGTGGTACTCAGCTCAATTCCTAAACATACGTGTGGCATATGTAAGTAACAGCCACACCAGAAATCGCGTGGCCTTGTAGTGGAGGTAGGGCGGCGAGGTGTGGAGCGAGGGGGCGAGTGTGGGCAGGCTGGCATGTCTCGCTCGCACCAGATGTGATGACAAACAAGGGTTTAGCACCTCTGGCGCCTGCCACAACCCCAGCACCTGAATCGCCAGCCAGCCAATCTGCCATAATTCCACAATCCAGCCAACCTTCCCCCAAGGTTTGCACTTTTACCTGATCAAGCTGTCGTCATTGGCATTTTGTCAATTGCGAAAGCTTGCACGACACAGAGCAGAGAGAACGAAATATTGCCGTTTCCGAAGGGTTCGCAGAGGCGTAACCACCAAGTATGATGCTCGAGAATTTCGCAAATGCATTGAGGGATTGATGCTGTGTGGGAGAGGCAAAAATTTGCACCAAAACTCCACCAAAATGCACATGAAATGTGTGTTGTCCTAAGCTTTAGGAGGAGTTCACCAGTCTCCTTCTAGTTGCTTCACTCGACATATAGGCACAAGCCCACGGGCTCCTTGCACAATCCGTCGATTCTTCACCGGTGCTACGGGCCGTGCTAAACTACCACGTTGAACGGCTCTCGCTCTCTTACTACCTCCTCCGAATTCGAGACCGGGGCTCAACAGAGAGGCGCATCGCCGCGTCGCTGAGTGACCACAGCAAGCACCATGCGACGGTCCTGCCCACCGCCACGCTTAACGGGGCGGAGTATGTCGCGAATAGCGCCTGCGCTAGTTCCAGTGACGCTGCTGCTATGGCTGTCGCTCTCCGCGTCGCAGTGGCGAGGGTCGCTCGGACAGCAGTTTGAGCAGCATCTCGGGCAGCAGCTCGGCGAGCTGTACCGCTTCACAGACACGGTGAGAGCCCTTGAGCCTTTGAGCACCTCGCTCTCTCTGCGCGTCGCACACTCGAGGGTCGCTCGTGCAGCAGCTCGGCGAGCTGTACCGCTTTACAGACACGGTGAGCGCTTTCGAGCATTTCACACGAAAAGGTTGATTTCTTTGACCCGGTTGGCATGCATGCATTTGAGAAACTCGGGCAGCTTTCGAGCATTTCCCCCCCCCCCAAAAAAGGTCGAGTTTTTCGAGTTGGGAAATCTCGAGTTTCTACAATGACTGGCGTAGTCGGGTCGGTCACAGTCTCAGCAATTCTCCCTACCACCCCCGCTCGAGACTCGTTTCAACGTCGTGTCGTGCCTCCGCACGTGTTTCCCGCGCGTTCTCCGCGCGTCCTCCCGCCTGGTAGCTCCACCCTCACCTTCCTTTGTCTCGTCTTCTTTCCCTCTTCTTTCCCTCTCCCTCTTCATCTTCGCTCCTCCCTTCCGCGAACCACCACACGCACCCACCCATCCACACCCCCCAATCCATCCCCCTCACCCACACCCCCCCTCCCCTCCCTTCCCCCTCCTCTCCGTCCCCTACCTTTTCCTTCAGCCTGACGACAGCCCGCGAAGGCGATTAGAGCGCTTCCAGTCCGACGAGACCCCAATCTTGCAGTCCCTTCCTACCGCCGCCATCGGCGCCGTGAAAAGCGCTGACAGCATCGCCGACCGCGGTCGCGGAGACTCCACCAGGGAGGACGGCGCTGCTGGTTTTCCCTCCTCCGCCTTCCCCCGCGTGTTCGAGTCGGGGCAGGGCTCGTGCGGCTTCCCCGACACGCGCGCAGACGCGGACGAGTGCGTGGCGGACCTGGCGGAGTTCCCCGCTCTAAGCGCGCGCAGCGGTTCCGCCACCGTGCGGAAGTTGGCGTGCCTGGCGCACAACTACCTGCGCCCCTGGATGGGCATTCCAGGCGTCACCGCGGGCATGGGCGCGCGGGGAATGATATCCGCGGAGATTCTGCACCAGATGGGGACCATGGCCAATGTATGTAAGGGCGAACCGCTACAATTTTCGCAAGTTCGCTCCAGAACTTTTGAGGCGCCTCAGAAGTAGAACACGATAAACACTGGTTCCCCACCTTCCACAGTCCCGCTGCATCCGCAACTTTTTCCTCGTTAGCAACATTCTTTTACCATCGATCCCTCCTCCGTCTTCCGTGTCTGCCACTACCGCGTTCCCCGCACTTCCCCCCTCTCCCCCTTCCCCCCACCCCTCAGTTTCCTCTCCCTCCCCACCCCTGCCCTCATTCCGATTTCTTCCTTACCGCCCCCTACTGCTCCCTTCCCATCCGTCCGATCAGATCCTCTCGTGCTCTGGTCACATCCGCATCGTGCGCGGAAAGGTGTTCTTCCGCCTGGGGGCTTTTCAGTTCGACTGGTATCGCATGCGCCGATTCGTCTTCACCGTCAAAATGATCCAGGACGCTATTAGCGCGTACAAACTGTACAACCTGAACGCGGAGCTGTTTATAAACACATGCGATCTGCCAACCAGCAAGGCGGACTCGGTCGCGCGGGCGGACCGCGCGGGAATGCCGCTGTTTAGTCCGCACGTCGTCCCGGGCTCCCTCGATATTCCCTACCCCGACCCCGTCGATCTGTCCAGCAGCTATTTCCGTGACGTTGAGGATAAGGTGCGTTAGGCGATACGCGTGCCGCACTGGCAGGTGCCTCAGGTAGCGTGCATCCATAGCTGTGTCGATTCGTGCGCTGATCTGAAGGTCACTTGGTCGGCCGGGAAAATCGTACATGAATTTGCCAGACCTCTTTCTTTCAACGTCGCTATTAGAAGCCTCGACACTCGCTGGTTCCGATACCTCTGTACAGTAAGGGTGAGTATGCTGAACAAACAAACATATTTTTCCCCACACCTCAGGTTCCTTGGGAGGAGAAGCAGGGCCGGGCGGTGTTCCGGGGCGGGATGACCAACTACCACATCGCCATGCCCATGCACTGGCGCTCCAGCCCTCGCTTCCGCGTGCACCGCATGGCAGACGCCCGCCCAGACCTGCTAGACGCGCGTGTCATGAGCGGCGTGGATGTGCGGTGGCGTGAGAGTATGGAGGCAGATGGGGTGCGGCTGGGCGGGAGGTTAAAGCCCGAGGAGCTGCAGGGGTTCAAATACGAGCTGGATGTGGACGGCGGGACGGGAAGCGGCCGGACGTGTGGAATTCTGGCGAGCAATCAGGTATGCTAGTGGTCCCATTTTCGTTCCCTGTTGTGGTGCTCTCTGTTTCGCTCCTCACCCCATTTCCCCACCCCCCTCTCCCCCATAAGTGCTTCCTCTCTCATGCACACTCGCTCCCTCTCTCATATTCACAGTGTGTCACCTCTCTCTCCTTTCCCCACATACACTCATCTACCAAACCAGATAGCACTACCAGAGTTGGCATGTGTCAAAAGCCGTACCAGTCAGAGCACTACCCTGGTCCTACAACCCCATTAATTCCTCCTCTCCTCTTTCGTTCCTTTTCTCCTCCCTCTCCTCCCTATCTTGTTCCAACCTGTATCCCTCCTGCTTCCCTCCCCCACCCTTCATAATGGATTCACAGGTACTGATTCGCCAGGCCAGCGAGTACTATCAGTTCTTTGACCCGCTGCTGTGCCCCATCCATGACTCCCACCTGCCCCATCACTCCCACCTGTCCCATGACTCCCACCTGTCCCATCACTCCCACCTGTCCCATCACTCCCACCTGTCCCATGACTCCCACCTGCCCCATCACTCCCACCTGTCCCATGACTCCCACCTGCCCCATGACTCCCACCTGTCCCATGACTCCCACCTGTCCCATGACTCCCACCTGCCCCATGACTCCCACCTGTCCCATGACTCCCACCTGTCCCATGACTCCCACCTGTCCCATCCACTGTCAATCTCACTCCCTTGTCCATCCTCTCCCACCCCGTCTGATGCACTCGCAGGTGCTCATCCGGCAAGCCAGCGAGTACTATCAGTTCTTTGACCCGCTGCTGTGCCCCATGAAGCACTTCATCCCCACCCACCGCTACTTCAACAACCTCTACTCGCAAATCCAATGGGCCCGCGCCAACGACCAACGGGCACGCGAGATCGTTGCGGCTGCCAACGACTTTGCCAGGTAGGAAACACAACCAACACCAACAATGAAGCACTTCCTACCCTCCCCACCCACCGCTACTTCAACAACATCTACTCACAAATCCAGTGGGCCCGCGCCAATGACCAACGGGCACGCGAGATTGTCGCGGCTGCCAATGACTGTACCAGGTAAAACACACAACCGATACTTATTACCTCCAATATGCCACTTGCTGCCCACCCACCCACCGCTACTCCAATGGGCCCACGCCAACGACCAACGGGCACGCGAGATCTGCGGCTGCCAATGAGTTCGCCTGGTTAATTTGGCCCATTGCTACCAAGTGATTTTCATCCGACTCTGCCCTGCCTCCCCCACCTCCTTCCTCCCCTCCGTTTCCCTCCATTACCCTCCCTTATCCTCCCCTTCAAAATCCTCTCCCTCCTGCAGCTTAGTGCTGACCATGACCATTCTATCCCTTACACAAAATCTCTCTCAACTAGTTCTTTCCATTTTCCCTCTCGCATCTCTCCCTTTCCTCCCTGCAGCACCCTGTGCACGTGGGAGGGACGGAGGCTATTCTGGGCCATTCTCCTCGCCAAGTACTCTACCAGTGCCATAGAGGACAGCGCCAGCATCACAGCTCCACCTCTCCACCCCTGCTCCTCCCCTCCTACTCAAGCCGACGTTGAGAAGCCCAGCAAGGCCACGCGGCACTTGAGACAAAAGATGCCGGCCGTGTGGCCGCCCTGGTGCGGCACAAAAGACGAGGTGCCCAACCAGCCGGAGTGTACTTATTACTGTATCGGGTACTTGGACGACGAGAGCAAGTGGAAGTGGTTGTCAGGGGAGCTCTTAGAGGGAATAGAGGTGTTCAAACCACGCAACGAGCGAGTGCGATTTCGAGACGAGTGAGGGTAGAACACAAGTGGGCAGGGCAGGCGATTAGATATCAGTGGCACGGGATGGTATGCTGCAGTCGACTCATATGGGCACCTCTTTGCTTGGGTGGACCAAAGGGGAGCAGCAGTCTTTTGCAGCAGAGGGATACTGTAAAGGGTCACAGGCAATAGCTGAGTCGATTTCTGAGTCGACTCAGAAAGGGGTGCAGCAGTCGCACAGGAAAGGGCCACCACAGAGAGTGTGTGACAGGCAGTAGCTGAGCCACAGCAATGGTGAATGCCGACCTCTCAGAATGGCATCTAACGCAGCCTTCGGAAGGGGCCCATTGTGCCTGAGTAAGTGCACATGCACGCAGCAGCTTCTGCAGCCTGTAGGAGCGGCGGTGGCATGCACTGGTGTGGCCCAAGCGCTGCACAAATAAGCAAGGTGCATGGAGGTTATATGGTATATGTAACTGCTATGACGTGTATAGTAGTTATTCATGGTACTGAGTGAATGTAGATGTCTACGTAGCTTGTGTGTGTAATGCTAGCAATGTGTTGCTAGCGCTGAAAGGACGGCACTCACACAACAGCTTGCAAACATGCACAGGGAAGTACCTTTTTTTACAGCAATAATGCTACACACATGCAATGCAAACATCAGGTACAAGCAACCAAATCTACATACACAAGAAAAAACCACTGAGAACAAAATTTCAGAAACAAGCCTTGAGTTGTGGTTGGGCTTTGATGCACCTCAGTTGCGGTGAAGCTTGAGGTGAATCAAAGCCCATCCATTCACTGCCCATCCCGTTGCAGTCACTTGTCCCTATGCTTCGTCCACCTCTACACCAGCCTCTGAGTGACACTTGAGAAATGCCTGAGGCATGTGTTTACATGTGTGCCTGCCTGCCTGCCTGCCTGCCTCCAACAAATACCATTAAGGCCTGCCACCTCCCATGCCGCCACCTCCCATGCCGCCACCTCCCATGCCGCCTCCTCCCATGCCGCCAGCTCCCATGCCGCCAGCTCCCATGCCGCCTCCTCCCATGCCGCCAGCTCCCATGCCGCCTCCTCCCATGCCGCCACCTCCCATGCCGCCTCCCCTCATGCCTCCTCCCCCCATCCCCCCACCTCCCCCCATGCCTCCCACTCCCATGCCTCCACCTCCAACCATACCCCCCCCTCCCCTCATCCCCCCCCCGCCGCCCATGCTGCCGCCAGGCCCTCCCATTCCCCCGCCCCCTCCCATCCCCCCAGGCCCTCCCATGCCACCGCCAGCAGCACCACCGCCCATGCCTCCCCCGCCACTCACACCCCCAGATGGGCCGCCCTGACTGCCGCCCATCCTTCCGCTATAGTCCCCACTGTAGTCAGCATTGCTGCCCCCGTTATAGTCACCACCATTGCCACCACCATAGCCTCCTCCAGTGTTCCCCCCGCTATAGTCACCGCCAGTGTTGTAGTCCCCTCCATTCCCCCCGCTATAGTCACCACCGCCATTACCAGCACCGTAGTCCCCGCCATTGCTCCCCCCATCATAATCACCCCCAGGTCCGCCCTGCCCGCCTCCAGCTCCCCCCTGCCCGCTCCCAGGTCCGCCCTGCCCTCCCCCAGCTCCCCCCTGTCCCCCAGGTCCCTCGCCTTGCCCTTGCCCTCCCCCACAGCCCCCACCAGCAGCACCACCACCACCAGCCCCCCCCACTCCTCCTCCTCCTGCAGCGCTGTAGAAACCACCTTGTCCGCCTGTGTTGCCTCCGCCGCTGTAGCTCCCCCCATTGCTGTAGTCACCACCGTTGCTGCCCTCACTTCCCCCCTGTCCGCTCCCAGCTCCCCCTTGCCCCCCACCAGCGCCAGGTCCGCCCTGTCCGCCCCCAAATCCCCCCTGTCCCCCACCAGCCCCCCCTTGCCCGCCCCCTGGCCCGCCTCGTCCGCCCCCAGGTCCGCCCTGACCGCCCCCAGGCCCCCCCTGTCCGCCACCAGGTCCCCCCTGTCCGCCCCCAGGCCCTCTCCTGCAGTCCCCCCTACCGCCTCCCCTTCCTCCGCCTCCTACCCCCCCACCACTGCTACCTCCGCCGCCACCACTCCCCCCACCGCCGCTGCCACCTCCCGCGTTATAGTCCGCTCCATTCTCCCCGTTATAATCACCGCCGCCGTTACCACCACTGTAATCACCCCCGTTGTTCCCCCCGTTGTAGTCACCCCCATAGTCGCCCCCACCTCCGCCAGTGCCTCCCCCCGCGTCCCCACCAGTGCCGCCACCCCCTCCCCCTCCGGACGAGGCAGAGGAGCACGCGAAGTCCACTTGCAGCGCGCCACTGGGAGGAGGGGAGAGGGGGAGAAGGGGAGGGGGAGAGACGGAAAAGCAGGGAGCATGAGAAGAATGAACAAAGTGAAGGAAAACGGAAGCTGCAAGATGGGTTGGAATGAAGTGAAGAGATGAGTTGGCTCAGACGGTACTCACTGAGTGGCACTCATAGCTGCCGTGGAAGCTGAGGGTATGCACTCCCTTTGGTGATGGATCACTCACTCATAGTCGCCGTGGAAGCCGAGGGACTGCGAGCCATCGGCGGAGTGCGCCCACACGAGCGTGTTGCTGCCCTGCACGCTCACCGGCACCGACCCGTCTCCTGCCGTGCGGTTGAACCTGCACAGGAGAGGGGGAAGGGGAGATGGCAGCGGAGAATGAGTGTGTGAGTGGGAAATTCAGAATGGAACCCAAACCCTAAAAAGCAAAACTGAACCTGGCACACACCACCCTGAACCCTAAACCATGAGAACAGTGTCATAGATAGAATGGCGGACCCCGGAAAGATAGATTTCCTGAAAAAGCGTCATTGCGTACGTGAGAATGGTGGATCCCGAGGGTGACGTGGCGAGCTGCGCGTTGCCGATATCGAAGCTGCTTGTGGGCTGAACGTCGCTCTGCGCCGTGCCGCTCATGTACACCGCCTGGACGGCGGCGCCGCCCGCCAGATTGCCCACCACGGCGTCGGACGCCGCCATGCGGCCCGTCGCCGACCACCCCACGGCGAAACACCCCGCCGCCGCCGCGCTGCCGCCCGCCGCTTCCAGCGCCAAGGCGAGGCGCGACGAGTCCACTGCGCGCCAATGCAGCGTGAGTCCAGTGGACCCCAGCGCCGCCGACCACGCGAACCCCTCCAGCGCCGACGCCGCGCACCCCGCGCCCGCCGCCGCGGTTGTAGCGCCGGTGGTTGTAGTAGCAGCAACTGCAGTGCTGCCAGTGTTGCTCCGTTTACCGTTGATATTGCCGCGAAGGAATGTGCTGCCTGACGTCCATATTGTGTGCACTATGGTCCGGCCGCTCGATACCACTCCCTGGGATCGAAGATTCGTGTGTCTCGCGCCGTCTGCGGCGCTTGGGAGGCTGAGGAGCGCAGCGCCCAGCAGCAAGAGAAGCGTGAGTCGGCCGTTCATACCCTTGGTACTAGTCCTTGAGCCAGGCGAACCCGGCATCATGCGCCGATGCATCAAGCGTTGTAAAATGGGCAGAAATGAAAATAATATTTCAATAACAGCGATTCATTCAAAGGTTCGTGACTTACACTGTGCTAGCTGTTCAGCTACTAGTAAGTAGTACTTCTACTCCAACTCTTGTTGCTGGTGCGAGGATGGTTCACAAGCTCGAGGTATCTCCCAACAATTTTGAGTGATGATGGGGTTTGCAGCGTGGCACTTCGATTTATATGTGCTCTTATAAGCGAAAGCGCTGGAGGCGAGAGCAACACTACCCAGCCTCGCAAAATCTGATGCCGATGGACGAATTTCGACGACCATTCACGAGATGTAGAACTTCGCCGGAAAAACAATTCGGGACAAAGAACCAAGATTGACGATGATGGGTAACGCTACATCTCTTCGTCAAGGAAACCCTAGTCATTTCGTGACTGTTGACTGCTGAAGCCCGATTCACGCTGAAGGTTGCTGGGAGACTCGTTGACCCAAGGGATGTCGGCTCGTTCGCTGCTCCCGTCAAGTGAATTCCATAGAAATACCGGTTATTCACAGGCTCGACTTTATACGATAGGAACGGAGACAAACAATTGATAGACACTGAACTACAGATGCTCCCTCTAATTGATAACATACATTATCCGGGGTACCATGTTATTGTAACGGCATGACAGCCCACCATGTTTTTGTTACGAATGGCGACATCAGAACACTACTGTGCACTCCTCACCGCAGCTAAAGAAGCACGCAGTAACGAGAATGAATGAGAAGAGTCAAAACTGACTCGAAGCGTCGCAGACGGTTGAACTGCATCTGGATTGTCAGGAGCAGACGGCATCGGGCAGCTGCAGGCAAGAGGAATTGGCGGGAACAGTTTTGTAACTGTACGCGCCGCACGGTTGAGAATGAACTTGAATAAGGGAATGTACCCCTTAGAGTACATGGCTAGCTAGGTCGATTCGAATTCCCTGTAGTCCTATTTATTCCCCCGGATATAAGACCCTAGGGTCTTATGCTAAATCCCTAGAAAAAATCGGGGGGGGTCTTTACAAAGGAAAAAAAAATATAACACCTGGGTCTTTTCATATGGCATTACTTTTTTTTTTTAGTGTTTTCAACACCAAAGTTAATACTGGAGTTGTGGGTTTGCTTTTGGTGATCGCTTGACCAGTCAAAACGAATTCGCCAGTCACAGTAAAATTCGCCCCTCTGACGCAGCAATTTCGCCCCCCTGGCACACCAATTTCGCCACCTGACGCAGCAAACTGCCCCCCATGACACGGGAATTCGCCCCCGAAAGCCGAATTCGCACTATAGAATGCCTCAGTTTCAAGTGAAGCAAATGAAAAGTACATGAAAAACCCCTTATACAGGGGAAATGGGGGGGTCTTATATTGATCACCCCCCAAAGGGGGGGTATAACGAAATCGAGGTTTAATAAAGTACCCCCCCCGTATTAGGTACCCGGGGGTGTTGTATTTTGGGGGGGTCTTCTATCCGGGGGAATACGGTATATCGTTGTATTTGCATGTTCTAATCATCTCAAGCATTTTACATTCACTCTGCTATTGAGATCAAGGGCCCACCAACACTATCTACCTGCGTGCGAACCTTCCCGAGTAGATCCTGGGAGCGATCCCCCTCAGATCGCAGCATGGTATGAGAGCGGCTCGGGAATCCTTCGCACTGCCACTCCCGAAAATTACGACATTCGGAAAGTGGCGTCCGGCACACGCTCGCGTGTGAGAATGGCCGGAGGATCTGGTGGTCAGACTAATCTGACGGCTGAAGCGCAAACCAGCCCGGCTGCGACCAGCGAGGGAACGACAACGATCGGTACCGAAGTCCTCGCACAACTCCTTCAGCGACTCACCAGCTTGGAGCAAGGGCTCCAAACATTGCGGAACGGCGATGCGGGAACATCCTCGCAACCCTCTCAACCGGCCCCAACTGGCCAGAACGCCGCCCCGCACACTTTCTCCCTCGACACAAATGGTTCAACCCCCAAGGCTCCCCGTCCCAGTGAAGAGGCAATTCTCTCCGCTCAATCAAGGTTTCTCAGCATATCAAAAATAAAGACAAGTACCTGCTTTGACGGCAGAGATTTCTATACCTGGAGCTTCGAAATAGAGCTCCTGCTGCAGAACGCCCAAATCTTCCATTATTTCGACGGGAGCTACGCGGAACCCACTGAGGACACCGACGGCGCCAGAACTCGCTATTACAACGAGTCATTGATGGCGTACGGAGTCTTCATGCGCAACATGTCGCCGACAGAGCAGTTAAGCATCCGTTCGTACAAGACATCGGCTGCTCCGGCCCTCGACGCTTGGCGCCACCTGAACGGTGTGTATCAGCCGAAGGACTCAGTCTCTTCGAGCCGGCTACTCCAGCAGTTACTGGAGACCAAAATGACCTCAGGGGAGAAGGTCAATCGCTGTCGGAGCCTTCGCGACCAAATCGCGAAGTTGGGAAGTTCGATTTCGGAGGAAATCTTCGTGAACATCGTGCTTCAAGGGCTCGGCCCAGAGTGGCGGCCCTGCAAGGCGCTTCTCCGACAGCAGGGGGTCATCTCGGAGGCCGCCCTTTGCGCCGCCCTTCTCGTCGAACAACGGGATATGGATCAGCAGCGACCAGCGCCACGACGAGAACGAGAACGGCTCGCCTTCTACGCCGACAACACCGAAGAGCGACGGCCGCGGCGCCTCTACTGCAAAATCTACATAAATTTTGGGCACCTAGCGGATTGAAGTAAATTCCGATCTCGCCCTCGCCCGACCAATCCGAGCAACTGGTCAGGCCGAAAAGACGCACGAGGCGACGTGCGTCCAGCCCACGGGTACCAACCCCCACCCGCGCGCAACCTGAACCCAGCGGTTCAGCATCAGCAGCAGCAGCCATCACCGTTTGCCCCAGCTTGCAATGTCATAAGCAATATGGCCATGACGGGCGAGTCGCGTCGTCGCCGCGTGCGCTCACCTTCACCTGAGCCAGCACCCCACCCTATTGGCGCATTCAACAACTACAATCCGTTCACTACGCGCCACGACTTCACCGACGACAACAACGGGGACTGGAATCTTCCAGTCCCGCTGCTTGAAAGTCCTCCGCACGTAGCTGATATGCGGGTGGCACCACTTGATTGGCACTCGCGGGAACAATTTCTGAAATTTGACACTCCGCACATCGTCACACCGCGACTGGCGCTGCTCGCCCGTGACGACAACAAGCGCTACAACACCTGGTACCTGGACAGCTGCTGCGGCCAGCACATGGTGGGCTCCGAGCGTTACATATCCAACGCCGTCGCCACCCCCACAGTCACCTACGTCACCGTGGCTAACAACTCACGCTTGCGCGCAAGCGCGCAAGGCATCGTCGTGCTCAAGGCACGCGGAAGCCGCACGCATATCACGCTCAACGATGTGCTGATCGTCCAGAATCTGCGCTTCAACCTGCTTTCCGCCGCACAGCTCATGGACTGCGGCGTCGAACTCAGCATAGATCGCGCGACACGCGACATTTTGCTGCACTACGAATCCAGGGCCTTCCCCCGCAGGCAGATCGGACGAGCACACTCCGAAAATGGAGTGTATGTCCTAGACTTCGACATCCCCGACTGCAGCGGCGACTCGCACGAGCTAATCAATCTCGTGCCACTGCGCTTCGAGCACATTCACCGCAGGGATTGGAAACACCCTGACGGAAGACCATGGGTGTGTCAGAATAACTGAGCAGGAATGAAATGAACTAGCACAGAGTTTGGTACAAGTAGGAAACCCTAACTTTGTGTACCCCCTAAGGTGTAACCCACTACAGCCTACACAATATAAACATACAATGTTTGACACACCCCCATAGGCGCAGTGGGAGACAACCACAGGGTCACAAGACCAGTCAAAGCAAAGCAAAGCAAGCTCAGGGTGGATCTCAAGGATTCCACACAAATTCCGAGCACAAGCAAGCGGTCACAAGACCAGTTCACATGCAGGTTTATAACAAAGCAAGAGATACAGTGATCACAACCTAGCAAACGTAAACAAGTAGGCATATATATATAGTGATCACAGTACAAGCAAGGTCAAGAGGTAAGCAAGTGAGGCCCAGTAGGTACAAGGCCTAGCAGAGTGCAAAAGCGCTGATGGTCACAAGGCTGAAGCGCCTTGGTGAACACATCAGCAGTGTTGGCCTCCGTGGCCACGTAACGCAGACAAAGCTGACCACGCTGCTGCAGCTCTCGAGCAAGGAAGTACCGCAGAGCGATGTGCTTCGTTCTGTGCTCCAGTCTGTGCTCCTCACACAAGGCAATGGCAGCCTTGTTGTCGACGTACAGCACTGGAGGAGAACGAGGCCGCTCTCCGAGGTCGGTCAGCAGGTAGGTCAGCCAGCGTAGCTCCTGAGCAGCCATGGCTGTGGCGTAGATCTCAGCCTCACAACTGGAGCTGAGAACAGAAGAAGAGCGAGTAGAACGCCAAGAAACTGAGCCAGAGCCAAGGCTGAAGGTGTAACCCTGGGACGACCGCTGAGTAGCCTGGTCGTCAGCCCAAGAAGCGTCTGAGTGCCCTGTGAGAACAACCCGGTCTCGCCCTCCAAGCACAAGCCCCATGCCCGACGTACTGCACAAGTAGCGCAACACCCTCTTAGCAGCATCCATGTGCTCCTTCCGGTGACGGCCAGGAGCGACATAGCGTGCTAGGATGCTAAGAGGGTATGCAAGGTCAGGTCGAGTGCAGGTCATCAGGTACATGAGGCAGCCCACAAGCTCTGGATACGGGCCACTCGGCTCTACGGACTCATCCGAAGGCAGAGCTGAGAGCGAGTGACCGGTAGGCAGAGGAGTGGACTGAGGCGAGGAGTACGTGAAGCGGAAGCGCTGGAGAACCTGCTGCACCATGTGTGACTGAGTCAGGGTGATGGTGCGCCGTGCTCTGTCCCGGGTGATCCGCAAGCCAAGATAGCTCGTCAGCTCACCCAGGTCTGTGCACGTGTGTCTCCTCTGCAGCTCCGACTTCACGTGGGCGAGTGCCGCGGTGTCAGCAGTGGCAAAGACCAAGTCGTCGACGTACACGAGGATGTAGAACGGCGGCAGCGAGGTGTCGGTGCGTAGAAACAGCGACGGGTCAGCAGTAGAGGGAGCGAACCCAAGAGCCGCAAGTGTCGTCCTCAGTGTGTCGTGCCACTCACGTGGCGCCTGGCGGAGACCGTAGACCGGCCGCTGAAGCCTCCACTGGGTGCCAGGAGGAACTGACCCAGTGAAGCCAGGGGGGCGTCGCAGCCAGATCTCCTCGTGCAGGCTGCCCTGCAAGAAAGCAGTGCTGAAGTCA